CTCCTGGGGCATTATCCTCTTCCAAAACCAATGCTTTTGCCATAAAAGGATCATCTCTTCAATCGGTACATTCTTAGTCTCAGGCAAGAACAAGAGTACAAATATGGTCATGACGGTAACCCAGCCAGCGAAGAACAAGAAAATCCCGAATTTGAGGTGGCATAGCAGATATAGGAAAGACTGTGCAATTATGAAAGTAAACAGAAGATTGACTGCTACTGTTATACTCTGCCCTGCTGATCTGGTTTCCAGCGGAAATATCTCACTAGGGACGGTCCATCCTAGGGGTCCCCATGACCACCCAAAGGCCAGCACAAAGAGGCATATCACAATCACCACTATAATGGAATAGCCCTTTGATAGTTCCCCTGCTGTTCCTAATTTTATTCCCAAGATAATTGCCACAATAACCTGTTTGATGATGCAAGTTAGTAACAATTGTTGTAGTGTATGATGAAGACAATATGTTCAGACATCTTCAATATAAGTAAAGAATATTATGCTAAAAGTTATAGAATTTATTCTAAGTCATAATTTCATAATTTACTGAAGTCTAACTCTACAATTGTTTTCAGGGAATTCATAAAGGCTTACTTGACAAGTGATCATCGTTATTCCTCCACTGATAAGCAGCGCCCGTCTTCCTAGTCGATCAACAGCTGCAATGGAAATCAATGTCGAGGAAGCAAGCACAGCTCCTGTTAGAGCTGAGGAATAAAGAGAGGCGTTTGCAGCAAATCCCATACTCTGAAATAGCACAGGAGCATAAAACAGAATAGAATTTATTCCTGTAAGGATCTGAAATGTTGGCATGAAGATGGCCATAATCAGCTGTGGCCTGTTCCTCCGCTGTAAGATGTTTCTGAAAGGGTGCTTAATTGACTTGGCAAACTCACTCGCTTCAACCATGTCCTGATACTCTGCAGAAACATTCTCTGTCCCTCTGATCCTTTCTAGAACCTTGCGCCCTCTCTCAGTCAATCCTCTTTCGATCAAGCTGCTGGGTGTCTCAGGGACAAGTATTCCTCCGATTGTCATCAAAGTTGCTGGAAGTGCTGCTAGGCCAAGTGATAGCCTCCATCCCATGGTTCGAGTTTTGATGTTCCATAGTTGATCATGTTTGCTGTGAAAATCCCTAGGGTGGTTGCTAATTGGAACATCATGTTCACACCCCCTCGTATATGTGTTGGTGCCATTTCAGACAAATAAAGAGGAACTGCCTGAAAGCAAATGATTGAATTCGAGTCATACTTTTGCATGCCATGGACCGATGGTAAGTAAGTGAGAGTATAAATTTTTGTCAGGATGCTTTGCTCTATGCCCTATAAAGCCAATTTATATACTAGTATAACACTCTTAATGTGCTGTTGTATCTCACAAAATCTTCCATTTGGCTTAAGTTAAGAAGTAATATATTTTCAATATAAATATTTACAAGCTGGCTATAATTTTGTGGGAAGCAACCAGTTTACAAAGATAAATAGGAAAACAAGGGAGTGAACCTGATTTCCAAATCCGATGCCAAATCCAAGCATGATTCGGCCCAAGAGAAGCATGGCAAGGTTGAGTGCTGCAGCATTAAGAGCAGCCCCAACAAGGAAGAAAAGGCCACCACATATAATGGTAATCTTGCGGCCATAGTTTCTGGTAACATTGGAGGCAACCAAAGAGGCAACCAAGCCAGCTAGGTAGAGTGAAGAAGTGAAAGCAGCAAGGCCCTGATCATTGAATTTGCAATAGTTGTTTTCAAGGGCATGTTTCTTCTTCACGTATACCCCATGAAAGAAATGGTTTAGAAATCCATCCATGGATGTCACTCCACCTAAAGTTTCCACAAATGAACATATTTTAACAACCGATACAAAATAAACCAAGTTGTAGATATGACGACCCATTGAGGTTGCTACATGAGTTCACAATTTACAAGTAAATGGACTATGTCATTTTGTTTATAATTAGAGTTATGCTAAAATGAACTTCATATTCTAATTTAGTATTAGTATTATAATTTTTTTTGGAAAAATATATATGCAACCTTATAAGAAGCTAAAAATGGAAAGAAAAGACAATAATAAACATTTATTAACCGATTTGCTCGTAAATTGTCGATAAATTTTCAACTTAATACTGAAAAAGGAAGTATTATTAATGCTTATATGCAGCCATTTTATTTTTCTACAATGTTTGATTTTTTTTTTTTTTACATTTTTATAACAAATCCAAATTATTTGAACTTTGATGTTCAAGCTAAAGCATATAATTTGATGCTTGTATTTGTTTTAAAAAAAACAATAAAGAATAATAGTTATGTCCAAAATAAGAAATTAGTAGAATTATCAAGTTTTTCTTTGTAAGTGTAATAATATGAGTTGATGAATTTAATGATGTTGCTAATGATATATGGATAAGATAAGCTTCTAGAAACTTAGTCATGTAATGTACTCCATCCGTACCTAAATTACATTCGTAATTCTATCATTTATTCCACACATAATAGATAGAAGTAGGAATGTAATTTAGGGACAGAGTGAGTAATGTAAAGTGTGTTATTACTAATTAATTATATTTTGTTAATTGAGTTGTAACATATGACAAAGCCCACCCTGAAATTGATAAATAAGTACGGAACAACTTTATTTTTAGAGTGGTTGACGAGAAAAGGCACTCCAACAAACTCTGAGTTAATAATTACCAAAAAGGTGTTAGATCAGACATGATGAGAGCAAAATAAATGGAGAAAAACATGTACTCATCTGCTATTAATTTACATAATTGTGTTTTATTATGGTGTTATGAAAAAATAACTAAATATAAGTGGTACAGTTAATTAAGACCCAAATAATTAGGCAGGATGCACGTTGTTCTTGTATCTGTAATATATACAAGTATTGGCTAAGTTAGATCCAATAAGTTAATTTGAAGCTTCAATAATTCTGGATTAATGTACTGTATCATCATCATTATCATAAATAATGACAGTAAGGTTTGATTATTGTCGTCAAATTTTCCAATAAAAAAAAAAAACAAAGGAAGAAAAGAGACCTGAAATGCCAATGTCATAACCAAATAAGGAACCACCGGTAGCAGCAACAATACAAGCAATGATAACATAAGAAGTGACTTTTCCCTTGTAATCCTTTGCTCTCTCCTTGGCCACTCCACCGCTCCCATCGATCCTCCTGCCATATTGCTGCGTTCTTTTTCTTTATGAATTTGAATGATATATATATAATTATATGTATCTCTCTGTTTCTCTGTTGTAATATGTATATATGTGAGCAACTTAATAAGAAACAAACAAACAAATAAGAGATGAGAAAATAGGAGGACAGGAGAGAATAGAAGAGGAAGGTTGGTGGTAGGCAAGTGATAGAATTGAATTGAATGGGTTCGTTCTAGTATTTGTTTATAATTATTTCCTTAATTGCCTGTCTTTATCCGATCCTTACTCATTAATTACTCCTAAATCACAACCCCAAGTTTCTTGTTATTATCTTCGGACATCATTTTTACTTAACTACACTAGCTAACTAACAAAATAATGACTAACTACATAATCATACATATATCTGCAAGGGTAAATGTTTTTAATAGGATAAAGTACAGCTAATAGTCAAATCTTTTTTACCATTTGTAGTTATATTAATCTAGATTATGGATGAGTGTGTATACATCCATAGTCATATCATCGTCTTTATTTATATCCACAACAAAATTTAAATTACAGCTAATGTACTATTTTAAGAGTAGAATCCTATTGTTTTTGTAGTAGTTTTGCCGTAATATTTTCAATATACTGGAAAATGACATTAATAAATAGAAAATCGTGTAAGCTTGTCTTGCCTTTGAACTTTAGTGATTAAAAGAAGCAATACTCATTTTCTTTTAGATTTTAAATTAGCTAATACAAGTATTTGTTTTTATTATAAAAACAAGAGTTTTTGGTGTCAAATTGCTAACAAGAAGTATAATATTGGTGGTCAGAAGTCTTTGTTTCTACCCAATAATTACTTGATCAATTAGATTGTCTGGCCATATAGGGTATGGGATGCAATTATTTTTTACCTAAGATATAGAATATTCATTAAAAAGAAATTAAATGAATATCAACTGAAAAACAAAATAGCAGAAAAATGAATGTAACTCCATAAATCATCATAAAACCTTAAATCTGCCAACCTAACTGACGTGTTAATAGGGTTAGAAATTAGAATGATAAAGAAAAGTCAAAGAAAGAAAAATAAACAATAGGCCAATAGCAGATTGAAGATGCCGTAAACAAAGAATTTAAGTTTCAACGGAGTAAGTCCTAAGTCGAGCTAATCAATTTTTTTCTAACGTACGTGCGCAATACTCAGCCACATTGTCAACTTAAATTTGTTCATACTTCATACCAAGTACAGTACATAGTTTTATAACATGCCAAGTTTCTCTAATCTCTTACTTAAATAGCATGGAGTAAAGTCCTTAATTTTTACCACGGATTATTTTTTTAGGTGTTTACAGAGCCGCAAGGGCAGGTGATAAGAATCGATCTCAAAACTCTCTTAATTTTTACTATTTGGTGTATTTATTAATGCGATGGAACTAGTCAATTGAGATAATAATATGGTATTATTGGTGTACAATACAGAGTATATTATCTTAGTATTAATTAGTATGATTATATGAGATGATTTTACTATTTTACCTAGAATAACTTAAATGACTAATTATTCTTTCAACTTGTGTTTAATTTTACATTATAATCCTTTTTTTAACTACACATTAGCGTAACCATAAAATTAAACTAGATCATCACCTCTAAATGTAAAGGAGCCTAATTTACTTGATTACTAATCTATAAGCATATGCACAAACTGGCACTTTTGCACCAACACTTAAGTTGGTCAACCAACAATGATATTTAAATACAATTTGAAATACGAAGTAAAATATTAGAAATTCATATTTGTCTTTCTTGCTAATTTCAAATACTTTAATTCCTAATTGGATGAGAATGATTGAAATTAATTTTCAAAAGTTAAATTAGGAATTGAAGCACTACAGGATTGGAGAATGGTTACATGATCCTAGGATGATCATCTAAGCCAGCACAGTTTGTTGGACTAAGGACAGATAATATAATAGAATAGAGAAATCTATAACATATAATTTGCCACTATTCACTAAATTTGAATAAGAAATCTACTGGTATATGTAATACGAGGTACAAGTCCCTGCATAAGATAACAAGTATATGAGACTGTAAAAAATGCCCTCAATTCTAGATGATTTTGTGAAGTAATTAAGGGCGGCGCATCATTTACATAATCACGCTACACTAAATCCTTCCTCTATAGACGAGTATTCTGCCAAATCAGAACACTGATATGGCAATGAAGTGGAGGAGGTCATTGGTCGCGATAAGACAGTGCAAGATGCTACAATATGTTTAATGTTTAACTCAGAATGGCACTCAAGAAACCCCTGTAACAAAATACAACATAAAAAAGTAAGTATCAAGGGGCTTACAAAAACAAACTTTATGTTAAATATCGCGCTATCCTCTGATCTTACCAAAAACCAGACGAATTCTTCAGTTCTCTGCAACACAACAATGAGAATTAATCAGCCAATGTGACCGGGATATTGCAAAATATAATACGAATTATGTACTAAGTTGAATCATCAAATTTAAATGTTACTCTTTATTTTCAGACAAATTCAGTGTTACCTTGGCTTCCCTAAGAATGCATTGTTAATGTCATCAGAAGTTGGCTTCTTCTCAAATGTGGACAGCATGACATACTTTTCTTTTCCAGGAGCTTCGTCTACCCTCTTGTACACTTCATATGGGAAGGGGTACGACATTCTGTGGAATTAACATGTTCATATGATTTTCTTGCTCCACATAATGCAAAATTTTTTGGCAAAGAACATGAACTTGGTTTTCTGATTTAGTTCAAAATTCAAAATGACAAGTTCATGGCAAAAATACCTGAGAGCACCCATGATTGGGTACTGAGTTCCTGCATAGTAGAGAAGCCGAAAGGAGTAGCAATTCTCAAATGACTCGGCATACTCCAATCTCTTATCACGACCCATTGTCTTTGAAGAACAGAATAGTGAAAATTTAAGATTTTGATAAATAATAAGCAAAAAGAAACAGATTTTAAAAAAGAGAGGTCTTTTTAATTACCTGCATGATGCCACTTGAGCCAGGCAAGTCCTGCATCAGAAGAGGGGAATCAATGGTAATTATAGCAAACTCTTAGCTTGAAAAGTATCCTCTCAAGAACATGCAATATGTATATGGCATTAGGAAATTAAACCTTGAGACGCGGATTTATGAGAATAACTGGACGACTCCCTGCAGCATCAGTCATAGCTCTCAAATCCTGCAAAGGAATATCATCAGACAATTATAACAGATCATTTTAGGGACAGGATGATACCATGGGGCATTGAATTTAATATTAGAAATTTATGGAAAATGAAGGTCCTTACATCAATGATACAATTTCCAAAAGCATTCTGAGGAGCCACTAGAATAAACATGTCATCCTGTTCATCAACCTCATTGCCACCTACAAGTTATCCATGTTATAAATCATTGAACTTACAAACATCATATAAGTGGGAGCAAGGAGGGTTACTGAGACGGTTTGTTGCAACTCCAGATAACAGTGAATTATATGTTCATAAAAAACTAATTTTGATGTTGCTAATACCTATGGAACCTATGTTGATGAAAGTCCCTTTGGCCTCATAATCACCCCAGTCCATGAACTCTAAAATCTTTCGAGTGCCTGCCAACTGTAATGGCATTCCTGCCAATGCACCTTCACCCATTGATCCTTGGACACAAACCTAAGTATAGGTGAATGTTAGAAAAAGGATTAGAACAAGAGAGATTATAAAATGAGTGGTTGAAAGCAAACCAACCTTCACTCGTTTTCCATCATCAGCAAATGAAAGGGCTATGACTCGAACAAGCTCCATCAGAGTCCCAATTCTATAAACATCCTACAAAATCACATAAATATGATCAATTTTCACAGTTTAAAAAAGATGCTTAGAAAGAAACTTGCTTACCGTGGATGGGTCCAGCTCTGGAATACTGATCTCCACCTGTCAGATTAAAGATAGAATTCAGGAAAAACCATAGTTTAGTAACTTAACCATTATCATCAATTGAAGTTCAAGGGAGAAAATAAGAGGTCATTGGTCAGAATTTCAATATAATTTAGAAAGTGCACACATTGTTTTCTGGTTTTCTTAAAGTTGTAGAATGAAAGGGATTGGACAAAACAACTTTCCTTCAGCCTCCTTTTTCCATCTTTTACAGCTCTCAGTGTAGCTTGCAGCACATCTTCATAGAAATATTCTCTGATTTCTCTGGAATGTGGAATATTATTTAACCTTGTAGGGATTCCTCTCCACTTATCCTGTAAAAGGCTAAACTAAGGGATCAAATGTAACAGATAAGTTCAAACATGGGGTTAATCTATTCCTTGTATTCTTATTACCTAAAAGAGGGGAGAGATGATGAGGGATAAAACTTTCAGAGCATTTACCTTGTTTGGAGTTGCAAGATTAGAATTGCTGCTCTTAGTTACTGCATTTCCTGCATGAAAATGCTCCATGACTGTTAAATAATTCTCCAGTGTTAAATTGAAACAGCAATCAGCTCACACGACTGATACATGTCACGATGAAGTTGAATCATTAAGGTAGCACTCATAATACATATTTTGTAACCTTAAGTTTCACCCTCGAAACTGATAATAATAAGTGAGAAGCTTTTGCTGGGACATAGAAATCACTGCTGTGAAAAAGAGAATCAAGATCTCACCTGTGGTGGCAGCCTTCAGTTTTTCATCCTTTACTTTGTTCAATAAAGAATTTATTTCTCCAAAAACTACTTCTTTTAGGCGATTCCCATCAATCTAAATTTCCCAAACATAACTTAGATAAACTTCAGTACAGAAAGCTCTTAGCTTTGAGCAGAGAAGAAAATTACATGATATCAGTAATTGAGGTACCTTTTTCACTATATTCATATATGTTGTTAAGACTGCCTCCACATTTCTTTTATATATCTCCAGACGAGATATCACCTGGAAAGGGAATTCATAAGTCTGTTGGGTATAGTGAAGAGTGAAGTAGATAATATTAACTACAAAGACAAACTTTGGCACACACTAGGTCCATTCCTAAAGAGTAAAATCAGTAGATATTCCTCCTCAATGTGCCGAACAGAACAATTAAATCAGTGTGAAATTCGTGCATACTTGTCAACGTTATTTTTATTAAGGAGGTGAGGTAGGCATTATAGACACTCACAATTTAGGATCTCCAAATTTTGTTATATATTACATGGTACCTAATTTCACCTCAAAGCACAATGCCAGCAAGGGTACATACTCCAATATGGAAATGGACACTTATAACTTATATGCTACAAACCTTGTGAATGCTAGGAGGTTTTATTTTTTTTGGACACAATTTACTACAAAAAAAATGAGTGATGGCCTTTATCATTCATATAATGAAAAAAAGGCAAGATTGATTTTTTTTTTTCTGTAAGCTCTCTAACAAAATTCATGTGATATCTCAAATATACCTGTGAGAGTTACACTGCATGAATCAAGACAGATGAAGATGATTATAAGTTAGAATTCCCCCCTGTGAATCAAATTAGGTATAGTATAATCACAAACCAAACTCCTTAAAACTTAACAGCAATGTATACTTTGTCATGACTAACTACCTTCAATAAGATGATTGAAACTGACAAATTGAGATGTTTCATATTAATAAGAGATGCAATGGGTAAAGGTGCATACTTTTTCCTCAGTGTCATCAGGGCGAGTGACAAGTCTTTCTTTAATTTCCTCTGTTTCAGGAGGAAAATTGTTTATGTGATAGATCTTCCCTGTCACAGGATCAAGCCGTCTGCCAACACATCTGTTGATCAGAATTTCGTCAGGAACCTGAGTATCAGGAACCAAATCTGTGTAAACTTTCTCTTCTATCTTATGTGTTAACAACAACTTGTCATTAGTAATATTAAATACTAATCTGCATGAGACAGAATCTAGTGTTTGGCCTATTAAGGAATCATTCTTAAAAGATGATGATCTTGTTAGGATAGTATGGCGCAAAGCTATACCTCAAGCACAATATAAACATCTGGTCTGATTCCCAATTCTTCAAGACTCTGAGCCTGAGCTGAGGTCCGTGGATACCCGTCCAGAAGCCAACCTTTCTCCTTTGCATCTTGAAGGGAAAGCCGCGTTCTAACCATCTATCAACAAGTGTAATGATTTCTCTTCTCTAAATAACAAGTTATAACTCAGGTAAAAATCCAAGACTTAAAAATTGGAATAAAAGCATATACAGCTGTGACAATTTCGTCGGGGACTAGGCGGCCTGTGTTCATATACTCTTTTGCTTTGATCCCAATTTCTGTGGCAGCTGCCACTTCTGCCCTCAGGAGGTCTCCAGTGGATATATGAACCAGTCCAAACTATAAATGAAACAACCATTTAAAAAATGTATTCTGAAGTTAAGATCATGTATGTTAACAACAATAATATATATAAAAATGAATAAAACATACCCGCAACCCATTAAAAAAAAAAAAATCAGTGAAATCGATTTGAATGTCCATCAAAGTTGCAAAAATAATTATTTTTTCAGACAGATGCTTTAAGAACGGAGGCAGGAATATGATTCACCTTTTGGACAATCAATTCGCATTGGGTTCCTTTACCAGAAGCTGGTGCTCCCGAAATCATAACCTTAAGAGGCTCATTGATGGCGCAATTCACCTGCAACTTCTGTAAGAGGCATACAAAAAGAGTCAACATGATGAAAAGCTACTCAAATGTCAGTGAGCAACTAAAAAACTAAGAAAAGCTGCAAATTCTGACCTTTTGGATGCATTTCTTAGGAGTAGGCTCATGTCGGAAACGAAGATTTCGAAGAGGAAGAGAGGTTAAAATAGAAGAAACAGAGAAGGAAAGAGAAAGGTGGGAAGGGGAGGAAGAAGTACAAGTATAGAAGAGGGAAGAAGAAGAAGAAGAAGAAGAAGAAGAAGAAGATGGAGTTTGACAAGTAGTAATTCTTGTAGCATCCAAGTGAGAAGCACAGGGTAATGATTTCAGCAACATAGCTAATCAATCACCAACTCACAATACATTTGGCTATGGTGTTTTACTCAATAAAAAAGAGGGTGGGGACAGAAGAGGAGGATAGCTATATAGGAGTGGCTAAAATTAACTGAAAACGACCACAAGATAATTTAACTGTTTATACTTTGTTTTATCCTATCCATGATATTTTATTACTGTTATCAAGCAGCCTTAATAACAGAAAATTAACCCTTAACCAAGAGGCTGTTTGAGTCTGCTTAGCGATAATTACCTCTCACTCTCTCACTTATCGCGTGAATTAAAGCACTAACCCCAACCCCAGACCGCTACTTCCAATGAAATTTGAACAAAAATGGAAGGTAAGAATGTAAGATTATCACCATCCAACTCTAACATAACTCTAACATAGTAAAGTTGCAAAAAATATGAAACGGAGGTAGTATTATTTTTGGTCCCACATAATTTGAAAAGAACACATTAATCAATCCATATAATGCAAAGATGCTGCAATTATCCCACAATCATTCACTCCTGAGCTTGATTAATTTAAATTCGTTGCAATAATATTTGCCTTCTCAAGCTAACAGTCAAATAGAATTATTCACTGACTCTCATCTGCTGATGATATGACTCCAACTTCCCAATCACAGTTGAGTGCAATTAATCATTGTAGGTTGCGAGCTTGCAACTTGCAAGTCTAACTTACTTTTTTCAATAGGTAGAAAGTCTTAAAGCAAGTTTGGCTTGCAAGTTACTGCATATGATAAATTAGGAATTAGATACATATCATTCTCTTTTTTTGTTGGACAAATTCAATCTGATTAATTTACAAGCTTTTGACCAGTACTGATTATTTCACATTGCAGAATCGAAAACTAGAATTGTACGCGCTCCACAACTTACAATCTCAAGCAGTAATAGTAAATGCCAAACCTAATTTACTTTGTATTCAGCCAACAACATTCAAATTCAATACCAGGAATTCTAGTGCATCTTCTCTACCATACTTGATCATAAGTTCCAGTGAGTATTAGATACAATTTGTTTTATTTTCAAGCAAATGATAGCTAGAATATTGCTAATTGAGTAATTGGTGATGGATCCATTTATAGCTTAGCACTTCAATTGTCCACCATAGTACAGCACAGCACATTATGCACGTCCACACGTCAGAGCACGAGACATGCACGCTTGTGGAAGCACACAATAGCAAGAGTAGGGTAATGGAGACAACAACACATTAATTGACATAGAATTGTCCCAACATGTGTATCAGCTATAGCTTCATACGTAGACCCGGCATATGAGACAAATACGATCATACAACAGAATTTTAAAACAAAAACAACTCAACTTCCTCATTTCTATTAAATTTCAAGTTCAAATACATGGAAGTGTCCCATGTTATGCTAGATGAAGCAAAATAGACCCTAAATATGCAAGGAAACTATGTAAATTCATGCAGGTATCTCCATGTAATTAAAAAAATCAAACTTAAGGTTATTATTACAAATCTTCCATCAAATTACCTAGAAATTTAGTAAATCTGAAAAGGGTAATATGACTAGTATCTATTAAAGGAGCAGTTTGAACATCCATCTTTCACCAGGAAAGAGACCCCTACAAAATCTGCAAGAAACCTTGAAATGGCATGACAAATTGCTTCAATCCAGCTTCACTGAGGAGAAAAGGTAGTGAACAAACCAGAATGAGGAGAGGAATCCAACAGTTCCCGTGACTAACATGATGGCCAAAACCATGAAGAGCGAATATCCCAAGTAGAGAGTAGCAGACACAGGTCCACTCAAGCTCTTGAGGTCAAATATGAGGTAGTTGATGGAGTACAGGAAAATGTATATGGCCACTGAACCAGAGGCAAAGAAAGACTTCCACCACCATTTCCAGTCCTCAACACAGAGATGCATGTATGTTAGAACAAGTGAGACTTCAGCACACACAACGACAAGGAGGATCAGAACAATGAAGAGAAACCCAAAAACGTAGTAAACTCTGCCCATCCAAAGGCTAGACATGATGAAGAAAAGCTCAATGAAGAGGGTTCCAAATGGAAGGGTACCAGCACCGAGGACTAACAACCATGAAGGGTATTTCTGAGGTGGAATTTCCCGGGGAATTTGATTAGTTCGCACAGGGTACTCAATGTGAGGGGCCTTTGCGCCAAAGTAACCACCAATTAAGGTGAGAGGAACAGAGATGCAAAACCAGAGCAATATAAGGATAACATAGAGAGAGAATGGGATTGCTCCTGTGCTATGACTTCCCCACAACAAGAAATTCAAGAAGGTCAATATCAAAAAGGCAATACCTGGGAAAAAGCAAGCAGCCTTCCAAGAGACAGAAACCCATCCTTTGTGATCCCCACAACCAATAGTCCTCCACAATCGAACAGCCACATACCCAGCAGCAATACCAAGAACCAAGTAGAAAAACACCATACCTGTAAGAAGAGTTCCCCTAGATGCAGGTGACATAAATCCTAGAGCAGCAAACATAATTGTCACAACACCCATCCCAAGAAGTTGAATACCATCACCAACCATAACACAGAGCAATGATGGATAGCTAGGAGCCCGGAAGACATCACCAACCACAAGTTTCCATCCGGACAATTCCTCATTCATCTGAGCTTGAGCCTCCTTATCTAATTCCTCATAACGAGTAAGATCTCGGCGAACAGTCCTCAAAAAGATCACAAGAACAATACCAGCAAGGAAAGTGATCACCATCAAGGAGTTGAGGATAGAAAACCAATGAACCTTGGAACCTTCCATTTTCAAGTAAGCATCCCATCTAGATGGCCACTTAATATCACTTTCCACAAATGAGACCTCATAAGTGAAAGCAATAGGTTGACTTTCCTTAATTGCCATTGACACGGTTGCAGGATCACAATTAATCTTCCCAGGGTACTTATCATACATCTTAGAATCCTTAATCGCATTCATGTCATGCTGAACACTGCAGGGCACAACCTCAAAACCAACAACCATGTAACCAGGCTCTCCAGATCCACCAACACCATTGCCTCCAGGGATCATCTCAGCAGCATCGCCGGTACCCATCACACGAGCCACATTGGTTTCCTCGTACTTACGAACAAGAACAGTAAGCTTCAAATGATTGAATACATAATAAGCATCTTGCACCTTAATCCCAACAGGATAACCCGTCCACCTCAGCAAGAAATTATCTCTCTTGGTGTAACGAATGGCGGGGAGATTATCAAGGATCAAGTTAACCTGATACATCTCATCAATCCTCTTCTTCAAGAGCTTAAACTCATCAGCAGAAAGAGGGCTAGTTTTACACATAAAGATCTCAGTCTCATTTGTGTACATCTTAAACCTATAAGGTGAGTTCTCAATCCTATCACCCATAAGAAGCTCACCAAGATTCTCAGCACTATCTTTAACACCCTCTTGGGGTTTACAAAAGGGTAAGCTGTAGTAACTAAACGGCATTTCAGTATCAATTGAGGTCAGAGAGTTCACCTTCACTGAAAGTGTATCCCCAACTCCATACTTGTGAGGGTAACTACCAGGGAGATAAAACCCATTTCCAGATTCAAATATCAAGCAAATCACAACTACCCAGATCATTGATTTACCTAAAGATCCCATATTTCGTCGGATCTGGCAGACCCAGATCAGAAATTGGAACTAATTAATCAAAATTGATAAGGGTTTTCGTAAGCAGCGAGATTAGGGATTCGAGATCTAATGATGTAAACCCTAAAATGAAATCCTAGGTCACGATCAGATCAATAAAGTCTAAGCAAAGGAAAGAAAGCAATAGAGATTTGGAGAAGAAAGAAATGCAGGAGAAAATAACAGATCTAACTGACCTTTAGACAGATTGAAATTTGACAGCAATGCACCGACGAGGGAATGAAGGAAGAAATGTTAAGAGAAACATGCGAATTTTCTCAATACAATTCGCAGAGATGAGATGAGAGAGAGATAGAGAAAGAGAGAGAGCGAGGGAGAGTCAGTCGGGGCGCAGTTTATAACGTAAGTCTTTGCATCTTTGATCCACCGACGTGTTTCACATTCTAGGACTTGTTTCGACTTGGACAATTACTTAAATGTCCTCATTTTCTTTAGTAGATCCAAGGGCATCTTGGGGAAAATTGATTCTTCATTCACCGATCTTCATTTTCTACTGGTTATTATATCGAGTATATACATTTGGATGCACCGTACACCCAACTAACCTAAGAGCAAGATTAGTGCAGTCTCATCTTAAGACTTTAATCCATTGTCACAACAGTTATTTAGATTAAATTTAATTATTTTTCTAATTTATAATTATGTTAAGACCCCTTAAGACTTGATAAAATTAATCTCTTCAATTGCTCAAACTCATTACATATAAATTAAATTATTAAAGTTTTTTAAAAATAAAAATAAAAAAATTGAGTGTGAAATTGAGTCTAAAATTGAGTCTTGAAATTTCAAGACTCTGCTTTAGATTTTATTAAGACAAACTTCATAAATGCTTAATATTAATAAAGTCTTGTCTTAAGACCGCAAAATTAGAAAATGATAATGTCATCTAGAATCTTAAGACCTATGGCTAATCTTGCTCTGAGGTTGGTTTTTGTTCTTTATTTGGTTATTATATGAAAAACAATCATAAAAATGATAACAAAATACTCATGAATATACAATGCACCGGGGTGTGTATAACAATATCTCATATAATTATCCTGTTCTAATCAATGAGCTTGAGAATAGTTTTGAGAAAAATGGTCCTTTTTTTTTGTCCACATTTTCTATAAAAACAAAATATATACATACAACTATACAAGTATAGAAGGGCTAATAGTTCATAGCTTTTTACAAATTTTTTGTTTCTTTTTTAACAATTTGATGACATTGACCTTAAAAAGATAGTCCACCTTTTATTATTGTATTAAGAAAGTTGATAACCACCGTGTGAGTTGGGTCTTATGCATGGTTTAAAACTTTAAATAAATACTATGATGTTTTCCAATAAAAAAAAAAAAAAAAACTTTGAAGTAAAAGTAATTAACACAATGCTAGTTTGATTACAAATTTAAAGGGATTTTGGGTTAGGACGATTTTTATAAGGCAAAAGCTACTGAACGCTCCGGGGGTGTTGGATAAACTAGCTAAAAGTAAAAGATTAAATTAAAATTAACATTAATTATATTGATCGACGCGTGATTTTGTCATGCTTTTCCAAATTAATACCATTTTAAGTAATATTTTAAATGTTTATCCAACGTCCCGGGGGCGTTCGTTAGTAAAATCCTTTTTATAATACATATTATAATATTTTATTCAAAATAAAAAAAATTCTTAATTTGATTCAATTTTTAATACCTTGGGATGGGAGGCTAATGCATGATTTATTGTAACAAAAGTTTAAAAAAGAAATGATGATTCAAAATTAGAAGTAGTGTGAATTTTAGGAGACATTTTCAAATTAATTATATAATGACAATAATTATAAACTAGAAGAAAAAAACATCGACCACTCTAAACTCTCTTTTGTCAAACTCATTGTAAACCTAACTCCATTGAAATTTGAAAGTGTCAAAATAATGCACTTTGTAGATCTTTACGATAATATAGCCAATTAAGCTACTTATACTAGTTGCATAGCTGTATAATTACAAGAACGAGTACAGTTATTTGGGATGTTTGCTCAATAATGTTACTAAATTAAGTGCAGATCACGACTTCACAAATACTACTACATAACTTTAGTCAACTACAAATGATAATAATGTATTATGTATTTATGTATATAATACATTATTATATACAAGAAAATAAAAGGCAATAATACTTTAGGCTGATTGTTTAATACAAGAAAATAAAAACGGAAAAGAAATACTTTGAGTGCATTATAATTAAGAAGGTAATGATAGCAATAAAGTGTTAGTTCATTTGATATTTTTTTTTAACCTCAAATCCAAAAGATGTGGACGAGGGATTAATAATAAAGTTGTTACAATTACATAATATATATCAACTCTATCCGACATATATTACGGAGTATGTACAAGTTCTATGCATTATTTGTAAGATATAAAAAAATAAATAAAAAAACAAAAAATAATTATAAATATCAAATAATGGGTTAGAAGTAATAAAATACCATTCGTGTGGGTGTGGCTCTACTTGTTTATACAGCTTCGAGGAATGAGATGCTTTGTATTCTATTCGTGCGCGACTATCGTGGGGACTCACTACTTCAATGTGACAATTACCTAATCACGTCACTACATTTTTTTTAACAAAGAGGACATACAATGATAAGAGTACAAATCTATTTGACAAAGAGGACAATTACCTAACCACGTCACTACTCATTTGAAACCACTATTTTTTTAGCCTTATCAAAGTCATTAGTATCCTCTTATTGTTATTTATTTGTTTATATCTAAGTAAATATAATAAAAAATTTTCTAAGATTGATATTTATGTCATACTAAAAACAATTACGGGGTAATTCTTTAATATTTAACACTAAGTAAGATTATACGGTAATTATAACATGAAAGTGCACATATAAAATTTCATCATAAAAAATATAAATACACACATTAAACTATATTAGTATAATATAGAGCACCATAATTGCAAGGATTAAGCAATAGAAAGCAGTTACCAAACTTTGAAAAACTTCTTGACTCAATAAGAGAGAAAAAAAAAAAAAAATCCTCTGTCCCACTTTTCGTGTCTCATTTGTGTTCAACTCATTTTGATTGTTGTCATAATAAGAGATGCATATTAAGCATGTATCATTTGTGTTATAATCCAATTTACATATAAATAATACAATATTATGATTTCTTGTTTCACCTTTACCATCTTTATAATAATTGAAGCTACAATTCAAATTTGAAGTAAGTGTTGTCAATGAGCTTATTAGAAGTACAAAGACACAAAGTTCATATCTTCATTTTAGAACCATATATTCAAATAGTGTATATAATATAAAAAGTTATTACTCTTATCCTTGAAAAAACTTTATTAGGATAATTATCAATTAATTTTACTTACATGTGTATGACAAAGATCGTTTATTATTTACAAAACAAGAATCAATAAAACATAAATGATTCAATCGATCAAGAAATTATAGAAACCAGATCTATGTAGTAGAAGGACTTTGGAGTGAAATTCCATTATTCCTAAAAGTCCTCGAAGTGCTTCGTATTATTCTTCCCATACCATAAGCTAAATAGTCAAACTTCTCACCATAATTAGTCCCTAACACCCAAGAAAAGTTAGAAGGCAAATTAGAAAAAATCACACAAAGTAATGAATGGTATTTTTTTTTTTTAGGGGTAAGGGGTGGGCCCCACCTTAATTTCCTATCACAGGAATATCAAGGGGGTATTACCCACAGGGGAGGGGGGATATGAGCCTCGAACCCGGGTCACTACCACGGGAATGAAGCTTAGCTCCACTGAGCTATAGGCTTCTTGCTCAAGTAATGAATGGTATGTTTTGAAATTCTTACACCCTTTATTTATTCAATCAAGTGAAATGAGAGGCACAATTGCACAAAACCTTATCCCATAAAAAAAAGAAAAACCAAAATAAAAAATTGTCTGAAATATTACTGTATCTAAAGAAAAGCACAAAAAAGAAAAAAAGAAAAGAAAAAGGGACCGGCTTGTTCCTAGATTGTGCTCAGCTCATTTCGTTGCAGTTTCATTGTCAATTTAAATAAATAATGTAAAAATTCTTTTAATTTAGATTAGTTTAGTTTCTCTCTCCTAAAAATCAGCTCTCATAGAAAAAAAAAATGGGTTCAGGCAGCAGTAATCTGGGTTCTCCTCCGGCAGCTGCAACTGGTAGACGCAGCAAAGTCAACCGTACCAAACAAAGGCTTGCTTCTCTCTTTTGCGGCGCTTCTTCTCCTTCTCCTCAGGTTTTTTTTTTTTTTTTTTTTTTTTTTTTTTTTTTTTTTTTTTATACTTTTACCCCCTTTTGTTTGAGTTTCAATTGTTTTGTTTTTAAGTTTTAGCAAGATCGTTGCTTTTTTTGCTCTATGTTGGTGGGCTTGATTATTTAGATTATTCCAAAGATGGTAACTTTATAGTTTAAGAATCCCTTAATTTGTAATCTTAATTTTTTACTTGATTGGATTTTATACCATTACCATCCATTTCATGGAGTGTTTTGGGGGTCGAGAATTTTTTATGAGGTTTTCATACAAATTTAAGCTGGTTTTATCATTTTGATTGGATGTTGAATTGGGTAATCCAGCATAAAAGTCATACTGGTTGGAATTGATAGGAAGTTGTGATTAAAAAATATGGATGATTGTGCTATTTCTAGCTTTATTAATACTTGGATAACATGTTTATAGCTCAAAATGGTGTGTAGTGCAAATTATAATATTGTGATTATCTATGGAAGATGTTGAATGTGTTCCCTATTTCTAGCTTTATTAATACTTGGATAACATGTTTATAGCTCAAAATGATGTGTAGTGTAAATTATAATATTGTGATTATCTATGGAAGATGTTGAATGTGTTCTCTATTTCTAGTTTTATTAATACTTGGATAACATGTTTATAGCTCAAAATGATGTGTAGTGTAAATTATAATATTGTGATTATCTATGGAAGATGTTGAATGTGTTCTTTATTGCATCTTGCTTTATTTGGTCATTCTCTGATGTTTTTTCAAGTTTCCTTGAGAATTAACTGAGGTATTTGAAATTTCTCCCTAAAGGTCATGAAGCCTTTTTTGGGATAAATGTTTATCTGCTGCATGCCTTGAAGCTTATTTCTTTGAGTTCAGTTGTTTGGCCTCCTTATTCTTTCACTGCTGTAGTGGTGGCCGATGCAGAAAAGGTACGGCGATGTCCTGGCTTACTACATGACAATCGATTTTAATTTAGGAGTTTAGTTCTATCTTCTCACAATTTTTTTCCTTGTGAGCTTTCTGGGGTGATGGTATTATTCTTAGTCATAGGCCCTTACGATCTTGATTTTTTGACATCTTTTTGCATATATTTCTTTTGATTCTATACTTCATGCTCTAGACTAAGATGTGTGTTATATATCACGGTGGAGATGATAACTCAACCTTTTTGCTGCATTGTTTAGTGGGAAGATTGTGCTGCCGGATCTGTATTAACTTCTAGGGATTACAGTCAACAGAAAGCTAACAAGTCCTCAATCCCCACAAATGATTCCATTCCAACTTCTAGTGCGGGAACCGGGTTTAGCAGCAATTCCAGTCCTAGATCTGGACTAATAGCCTCATCAGAGAGCAGTACTCTAAGTAGTGAGTGCACCTTGATTCATGATGATTCAAATGTAGAATCATCTAATAAGCGGAAGTGCTTTTCAGAAGGTGATGAAGTTGTTCCTTGTGATGTAAATGCTGATAGCAAATGTCATCAACAGCGATTGATTGATTCTGTAAAGTCCTCTTCTGCAGGACACCTACAACACATAAGTATTAGTCCCAACAGGCATGCAACCAGTGAGATTGATGAATTTATCAACGATGCACCTCAGACTAGTTATGAGGTCTTGTCTCCTAGTTTGCAGCACGTGGAGCTTGAACAGCCCACCATTTTTGAGGATGTTAGTGAGGTTATTGGAAGCCAAAGTACTGAATCTGGTCCATTTCCAGTTATTTCTGACCCTGGCATAGCTTCTCATGCTCGTGGAGATGAAGTCATTCAAGAGGTGATACCCTCAGGATTAGAGCTTTTTGTGTCAGATAGGGCTGAAGTTCAACCAGAAGGAAATGTGCTTCATGTTGATGTGGTGAGTATCTCCTCATCTTATCATTTGCCCAACATCAACAACGAAATAAGCACCCGTGAAGCAAGAAGACACAGCAGGAGGATGTTTAGGGATGCCTTTACAAGTCGCAGTTCAAGAAGAAATGCTGATTTTCCAGCCATACTTTTCACAACTGAGGATTCTGATCTAGCAGGATCTCATCGCAGATGGCTTCTTGATATTGGTGATGACTTTTTTGATGATGGTGTTGGTGCTGAGCCTTGGCGCTTTGGTCGGAGAAGTCGCTTTACAAATGATCGTAGACGGAACTCAAGATCTGAGGTGAGCATCTGTATCCCCTCTTGCTCATGAAAGACATGCTTGTGTTGCTTTTGCGACTTCTGAATTCTGCACAATGATATTTAACTATCAAACCTCCAAAAAAGGGGAGATTTTTCAGGTTTATTACTTAATGTTTATTATGAAAGACATTTGCTGTAAGCCTGTAAGGATATATTTATGCTATCATACCCCCCCCCCCTCCCCCCACCCTGAAAAAAAATTTGTTTATTTCGTATTTTTTGTGTTCAGTACATGCTTAAGTGTGATTGGCATTCCCACTGTTAGTTATTTCAACAATTGTTTTCAACCTCCTTGCAGTTTTGGGATAGATTGCGAGGTACTGCTACAGAGAGTAGTCATCGTACATTTTGTCCGCTTGATTTGCATTCTGACGGTTCATGCACGTGTGAGTTGGATGAAGAGGCTAATGCACTCTCAAGTATATCTAGAATTATCCTGCTTGCTGAGGCTTTATTTGAGGTATATTTGTTTATAATGTTTTTCTTTTGTTGCTACTGAAATATGTCTATATACTCCTTATTGGTTGACATTTCATGTTGTCAACATCTAAAACTGCTGATATTTTCTACTGTTTTACTCGTTGGGAGAGGTCAGGAGTATATTCTTACTGCAGATTTCTTATACTTCCTCTGTTCTTTTTTTATTGCACCATAAGGGATTTCACGCTTGCCAATGCATTACTTTGGCTATTAATATCTTTAATTATACTTTTGTAAAAATTATAAAAAATTGATATTTAGAAAGTAGATTTCAAGACGAATCTAACTAGATCTCACATGACTATGTTTTTCCTAATAGATAAATCACAAAAGATGGTCAAAGAAGATTAAGTGAATAGTGTAAAAGTCCTTATGGTGCAATGAAAGAAAAATGGAGGAAGTGTCTTCGTTTGTAAGATTTTGAATAAAATTGTTTTCTGCTTACATGATGCTGATAAGGTCATTTACTTGTTTGAGCTGCCTAATGTTAAAGTACAAAGTATGTTTTTCTGCAACAATTTGTGCTGTCCCATTGTCTTTATCACTTTATGCTCTGTCTGATAATCATTAATTTAATTGAGCTGCCTTTTCTTAATTTTTGTTCTGCACCAAACTGTCCCACTGTTTTCTCAGATTATGCTATGCGTCTCACACTCATTGTGTCGATACTAATGAATGTAAGGCTACCTTGCATCTTTGTTTTTACCTTAGAGTAATCGGAAGTCTTTCTGTTGTAAGAGTTGAGAGCTGTTTGTTAAAATCAATGCTTGACTAATTCATAGCTGATATATTATTTTTCATTGAGGCGGATTTCTGATTTTGGCAGAGTAAAATGAGCTATGAAAGCAATTAGTTTGTGAACGTCATTGGAGATTGTTGACTTACCATGCTATTTATGAGAAAGATCTTTGAACCTATAGTTATCAGAAAATATATATTTAAAGAGTCTAAAAAAAGGCGTTATGATATTAGTTTAGCATACTGGTACTTTTTTTATTAAATAATTATATTTTGAGAGAATAAGTGATCGATTGAAATCTCGTAAAGCCTTGGGGCCTTATGAAAGAGAGTAAGTAGTTTTATTTATATCAAAACTGGTAATATTGCCTTAGTTTCCATTGCAGTATGAGCATTGCAAAATATCAAAGTAATCTAGTGTACCACACCACCACTTGCCGAGCTTTTTCTTCACCTGTTTGATATTTTGACTTTGTTCCCCTGGTTCTGTTCTGGTTCTTTACACGACTTCCAAAAAATGACAAGAGTGGTGGCATACTGTTGGAGCTGAACAAGTTACAAATTTTCTGTCTGTTCTAATATAACTTATGTGCTGCAGTGTGAATGTGTGAAGCTTTATGTACTCTTTATGACTGACAATCTGACATACTTTTAATATAATTGTGTAAAATTGCAAGGTTTTGGATGAAATCCACCGCCAGCCAGAGTCATTTTCCCTGTCTATGCTTTCAGTCCCTGCTCCTGAATCGGTTGTGGACTCACTTCCGATTAAAACGTTTGAAAAACCTATTACAGCTGATCACGGAGATGATGTAGATCAGTAAGTTGTAGTCTCTTCATATATTCTTTTTGTTCGGCTTTCTTGTTTTTGACTAGAGAGGGATGATGAACGTTCTTTTTTTGAACTTTTGATATGTTTAGGTGCTATATCTGTTTGGTGGAGTATGAGAAAGGTGATAAAATACGAGTTCTTCCCTGTCACCATGCATATCACATGTCGTGTGTTGATAAATGGCTGAAAGAGATTCATGGGTATTTCCTTGCTTCCATATTTTCGTAATGGCCGTTTCAACATACTGCATTTCTTGTCCATTTGACTTAATGTTTAACTTGCCCCATTGTAGGGTATGTCCACTCTGCCGTGGAGATGTTCGAGGAGGGGCTACAGAGGTTGCTGCATCCAGCTCAAATGAAGATCTCTCATAAATTCTTGTATAAAGAACTGCTTAATTACTTGAAGCTATTATAGACAAAATCTTTCATACCAAATTTTGGTTATACCTAAATCAAATGTTAGTCTGACTATATACCATCGACGAATTTATCACTCACATTTTCATGTAAATATAAGCAAATGTACACAATTTAATTTTCTGTTTTTATCAATAATGTTGGTTGTTTAAAAGTGAAGTCCGATGTAAACAAATATCTTCCTTTGCAGTCATGTAATGTGTACATCAAAAGCCATAATGGTTCTGCTGTTTAATTTCACTTTGATTCGTTATCGTATATGTGCTTCCTTCAATCCTTCTCTATTTTTGTTCATCATTTGGTGAATTTTGTCCTGCAAATGTGAATTCCAAGAAATACCAGGTCCACAACACTTCAAAGGACAAATGAAAATTACAAATTCAGAAATCCTTCTATAGTTAGATAGGGTGTTACCTAACTTATCCTCCTCAATTACAGAGAGATTAAATTGAGGCAAATGAATTCCATAAAATAGTTGATATACATATTTTACTAATAGGATAAAGAGTTGTACATATAAACCCTTCCACAAACATGGCCTTGTGTAGACTAGAAACAATAATCTTATGTATTAGAAAATGGACTTTGGTTTATGGTTTGCAGGAGAGACGCGATTAGGATGGCAATTTTCATCATCTTCGAAAGCTGTCCATCTCTTGGAGCTAGTGCACCTCCTCTCCCAGGTAGCATGACGCATATTTTCCATCTCCCCGACATGATCTTTGAATTCCTTTTTCACAACATCCAACACGACATCACCATATCGTTCACACCAGGACCTGCATTAGCACACAAGCGCAGAAGAGAGATCATTATTACAAAGATAGGATATATTCATGTGATAATTCATGCATATCAGTAATGCAGAAAGAAGTATTGCTTGCTCTTAAGCCTTACTTGGGAAAGTACTGCTTAAGATCAGACTTGTCAACTGGCAGCTTTGTGGAGATAACATCCATTTCATCATTCCTACAGCAATGAGTATGAGTAAAACAAATCCCAAGCAACAAGACAACAAATTAATGTACAAAGGAGCCTATTTCGGAAACACCACATACGAAAAATGAAAGTTGGGATTTGTGCTAGACAGTTCTGTTTGAATTCGCAACAACTCCTTCCTTATGTTATCCCCTACAACCTGCATATTCATAGCATATCTAGTATGAAAATTGTTTCACTCTTCCAACTTTTATTGTAATGAGAAAAATCATGTTATCTCTTAGTGTCAGTTACCTTATCAATGTAAAAACCAGATGAAGAACTATCAGAAAGAAGCTTTCTTTTGATCTGCTTAGTATCAGGACCATCATTACTTGATCTCTCAGTTAGAGGGGCAGTAGTTGTTTCATCTTCCACATTAGTCCTCTTCCATCTTTTGAACCCATCAAACCCCCATTGCTTCTTCGTAAATTTCGAGTCTTTTTCCTCCGATTTATCTGTCTGGAATAGACTTCTGAATGCAGTCTTCTTCCCTTTTCCACTTCCATGACATTCCTGTTTACCAAATTTATCAGAGTCTGATGCTGACATAAGAATAGACGTAGTTTCACTTTCAGTGTCATTGTGATTATTGCTATTCCAAAATGGGTTTTCATCAACTGGGTCATTCTCTTTGTTTGAAATGGTTGGATTATCAACTGGCAATTGATCAAATATGCTCTTCTGCTGTCTTGTTTTTCCCAGTTTCTGTAAAGACCCTAACCCGAAAACTGAGGCTGCATCTTTGATGTGCTTCATCCCATGCTTAGATCTGTTTTTGGACCTAGAATTATCCTTGTTTATCAAATTCTGATCGTCTTTCAAATCGATCACCGACCACTCCTCTTCCTCCGGAGATTCTGCTTCTTTTCGTTCTCCAACGATCACGTCTCTAGCCTCTAGCTCAGCCCCTTGTACTGCTAATCTCTGAAGCAATGGCCTTTTTGATGCATGATACTCCTCTGCAGATATGCATTTTGCATACAGCAGCTCCTGTTTATTCATCAAACATTAATATGAATGCAAATTCAGATCTTGTAATAGGAAACAAAATTCAATTTCGGAAACAATGATAGAATTGAAAAAGAGAAACCTGGAGAAAGAGGAGCTTATCCCTCAGAATCTGGGGCTGTTCCTTATCGGCTCCTTTGGAAGCAATGAGGGTATCAAGGAGATGGGTTCTGAAAGCGGAAACCTCGGTATCTGGTAAAAGGCCTTCTTTGTGAAGACCAATCAAATTGAGGATCTGATGGAATGAATTCTGCTGCCATTTAAGATTATCAGATTGCTGTTTGGAGAGCTTCTGTTCAGCTGCTGTTAATCTTCGCTTGTTTAAAGAGAAAGGAAGGATTGATTTGCAGATTGAAGTGATGGAATCCTGAAGAGATGAATAGTATGCAGGTGCATATGTATTACTGTATCCCATTTTTCAATTCTTTTTCTTTTTTTTTTTTTACAAGATCTAATCTTTGATCCTATTACAAGATGTTATGAATGAATGATTTTTGGTGAAGTTGCTTCCCGTTTGTTACCAATTTGAATTTCAGTTTGGCCACTTAACGGCTATGTGAAAAATGGAAGTAGCCGTTGTATGCAATGGTCTCACATTGGCGGGACCCACCACGTCCTTGAAGTTTGGGCCCCAAAATTGGGTAATCTTGGCCCAGTAATTGGTAGAAATGGGCCATTATTAGTTTTTATTTTTAGTAACCGCCTCCTCTACCTCTGTCCTCTTTCTCCTCTCCTTCTCCATTGAAGCGCGCGCACTCAACAACATCGCACTTGACATCCTCCATTACTAACGATTTGTTCGAGGTAAGTTGTTGTTTCTTTTAGTATTCATCATATCAATTTCACAATTTCATCTAATTTTATTTAATTGAGTGCAGGGTTCCCTAAAATTATGTGATAATTGAACCTAATTTGTTTGATAATGTATGTCACAACCCTTTAATATTAGGATTCAACTATGATATACCATCAATTTATTAGTTGACCCTTTTATGGATTCTATTTTTCTTGCTAATTGTTATACTAAAATCTTGACCAACATTTTGGTTATGTTTATGTTGCCTAGAGTAACTACATCATGCCTTTTGCCTAGTGTAACTGCTAAGTGTCAATTATCTGTTCCATCTTTTTATTTGTGCTCTGAAATCTAGCTCTCGTCTATGTTCATATTTGAATTTCTAATTTGCTCTTGGTTAGATGAAAGAATTTGATGTGCATGTATGTTCCAGATGCCCTTGTTGGTCCAAACAAGTGATATTGCAAGTGCTCAGAATCTGATCTTTTTGCTAAACTTGATGAGCTCACAGGGTCATCAACTGAGAAATATAAACCATCTAAGGTGATCTCTATCTTAAACTTAATTCCTCAACTTGATTGATTTCATTTGTTCTAATGTCTCCGATATCTATGCTGTATGTGCAGTTAAGAGAAGCTGCTGATCCAGTTCAGAAGCAATCTGTGGAGGTTAATCAGAAAATTCTTAGAATGATAAAAGACCAGGTAGAATTTTTCTTGTTTCTATCTCTTCTAGCGGCGTCTTCTCATGTCTGCATTTTAATTTTAGAAGTTAAGGGTAATGATGTGAGAATTGTTCTATGGCAGGATCAGGCAGTGAGCTCAGAGAGTGTGCAAATGACTGATTATGATGATGATGCCATGGCTTTGGAGGGGTGCTACTCGTGATAGTAGGCGTGCCTCCACTCTTTCTAGTAAACTCTCCCAGATTATTCAGGCTCAAGGTACATTGTTAACTTCTTCTTTTTACGATATGTCGATTGCTATGTGTTTAATTTTGTAGCAGCATTCCCGTACTTTGACAACTTAAATTGATATTAACGCCAAAATTTCTAATGCATTGGAAAGACTGATATGGCAGTCCTAGTGGCTATTGGATTCTGATCTTCCCTGCTAGATGCTTGAAAATAGTGGAGTAAGATTTTTTTTCTTTTTCCTTTTTTTTTTTTTTTTGTGTCCTGATGTTAATTGAAGTTCTAAAGCAACATGCCTTATCTGCTCAAAGTGATGGATGGAAATTTTGATTAGTTGAGAAGAGGTCCTGATTGTTGATCATGATTTTCTGATCCATTGCCACCTTCTAGCTATAGCCTGTAGGATGAGGGGTGTCAATCTAAGTGGTTAATAAAAACTGAAATAAAAACTTGTACTAAGTGGTTACTCTCTCCATTTTTATAATAACCGCAACACTTATTAACAATAAAAACAAACGAGGGTAGGTGAGAATAAGGAGGTTACTCTCTCCATTTTTATAATAGCCGCAACACTTATTTATAATAAAAACAAGCGAGGGTAGGTGAGAATAAGGAGGTTAACTCTCTCCATTTTTATAATAACCGCAACACTTATTTATAATAAAAACAAGCGAGGGTAGATGAGAATAGAGGTAGCTGAATCACATGATTTGGGTTGGCAAGTGGCCTGAAAAAACTAAAAATTAACACCAATCTTGTATTTACATTACATACTAGTTGGTAATAAGCAAGCCGATAGAAAGAGTGACAAAAATGAAGTTTAAAGGTGTTGGATCCTGAACCTGCAACAGGGGCAGTGGGCATTGGTTTGAAGCCAAGGCATCAAACATTTTGAATGAAAACTATGGTTGCATTCTAAATTCATGATGTCATCACCCTCTTTCATTTCATCCAAGCATACTGCACATTCTTTATCTTGTAATTGATCCCCTGATTTCCAGTTCCAACTAAACTTTCCATTCTTCTTCTTTTTCTTTCTTGTCACTTCATTTTCATTGTTCTGGAATCTTCCTATTCTCTCTTCACAGTTATTATTCCTGAAATTAGGAGTATTATTTATATTAACAAACAATTTCAATGAATTAATAAAAAGTAAATGAAAATAAAAGTAGAATGGAGTAACCTGGTAGATTTGAAGGGTGTTGATCTGAGTTTGGCATCAAGTCTGACCTTGGCTTCTCTAGCCAAAGCTCCTAACTTTGGATCATCTTCGTGTTCATCATCATCTTCATAGGATGTTCTGCTCCTTGTCGTATGCCCCTGTACAGTACAGAGACACATATAAGATATAACCCTTTAATTTAATCATTCATTCGATCATACATACATACTTTATAAAAAACCAATAACTTACCAAGAAAGTAGAGGTATTTGTGGAGAAGAGAGAGAAAGAAAGGCGTCTCGAGGAAGGAGATGAACAATTGCTATTATTAATGCTACTGCTTTGATGAACTCTCCTTCTTCTTGCTGCTTCTACTCCTGGTAGCATCCCTGCCATTTTTTAATAAAAATTTCTAATTATTAATTCCACTCTTAAATAATAAACACAGATCGAGAAAGAGAGATTAAAAAATGATGAGACCAATACTTTGAATGGTTGGTCTGAAATCTGAATTATTGCTGAACGAAACACTTTTATATATTTCCTTAAATGTTTTAATAATTAAGGAAAGAGGAAGGAAATATTCAGGGAAACTTCATGGCTCCTTCATTCATTATTTATTAATCATATCATTGATTTGGTTTATTTGTGACTTTCAAATTTTCTTAGGACTACTTATTTGATTACTCTATGACTTTGACGGTTTGACCTAATTGTTGATCACTCAAATTTTCATTCCAATTTCATGATTGCAAGTACGTATGATATATACACACCTCAACCTAAATTCACTCAGGTTTTCAATCACTACCGCTCACCCCACCACTTAGCTACTTCATTTTCACTGCTGCCCTGCCCTTGTCCCTCTCACTTGCATTGTTTTTTTTTGGTGTTCCACCCGGTTCTCCCTTTGAGCTAATTCGGATTCGGGGATCAGTATTGAGTGGTTAGGTTCCAGTCCCCTCCCGATTATTGTTGCGGGGGATCGAATACAAGTCCTCACTATCAAGTGTAGTCCCAATCACCATTGCACCTTAATTAACTCTGTTTAACAATTTCCATTTTCAAAGCTATGATATTAATTACAATTTGTTTACACACAAAAGAATTATAAGCAGGGGGTTTATTAGGAAAAATGAAAACAAAAAAAACATCATGTCAAGGAAAAGAAAATAACATTCTTAGGAGGCATGTGGATCTTCTAAAGTGGGTAAGTGACATGATACATAACAATACAATCTAATCAAATTTGTTTAATGGGTGCAAATGAACAACTTGTCATTCTCTTATTTTCATCAATCAGACGTATATCTAATCAGTCACACATGAGGAAGAATCTCACAATCTCACCTACTAATTAAAAAACTTACTAAAGAGAACAGGTTCTAATTAATAATGTGTTGTACATCTCTTAATACTTCATCTCTTTTTTTTCCCATGTTCAATCTTTATTTTGTTTGGTGCAATCGCATTATTGATTAATAAGATCCTCGCGCAGCTTATGCTCTAATAATAGTGTTTTACAAGAAATTAAAAGTTTGTTATAAGAAAGAATAAAGATGACGGTAGGTGAGACATAAAGATAGCTAAATCACAATAATAATAATAATAATAATAAAAATAAATAAACTTTGCAACGTTATAGCTTTGCAATCAACCACCTCTTTTTTGCTCCTCTTTCTCCATTCTTCTTTCTTCTTCCGAACACCTCTCTTCTCATTTGCTCTCTTACAACTATAGTGCGGCTATTGTCATTCATTTTCTCTTCATTACTACTATTCCTGAAATTTAATCCCAACTAAACAATCAGTTATTTTTAATTCATCAATGTAATCATTATTTCCTTGTTAATTAGTACTCCGTAGATAGACTAGTAAAATAGAAAAATGATGCTACCCTAAATATACCACTTATTAATGCCCAAACAAAACATCTAACATCACACTTATTGACTAAAATCCATCTAATATTAATCATGCAGCAACTTTTGATGAATTTTTGAGACGGTGTAGTTCATCAATGACAGCAGTTAAACTATCATAAGATGAACCACCTTGTTGAACAGCCTTCTTAGCAGCGATGCCAAACTCCTTGGCGCGCTGCCTCCTTTCCTGAGCCTCCACATGATCACCCATCATCTCCCTCACAGCATTCTCAATCTTATCTCTCTTCACTAACTCATCCGTTCCATCAATCATGGAGCTCCACTTCATATTTCCAACCCCAACTCCAATCTTTAATACATCAATAAACAACTTTCTATTGTAGAATTGTTCAGCAGAGAGTGGCCAAACCACGACTGGTAGCCCTGCAGCGAGGGACTCTTCCGAAGAGTTCCACCCACAGTGTGTCACGAACCCACCAATGGCAGGGTGCTCTAATATCTGTGGTTGGGGTGCCCATCCTTCTATAAGCATCCCAATACTTTTCTGAGATATCCTTTCTTCAAATCCCTCGGGTAACCATTTCACCCCTACTTCCTCTGACTCCTTCTTTCGGACCACCCATATAAATGGGTGACCCGAAGATTCAAGTGCATGAGCAATCTCCAATAGTTGAGCTGAGCTAAACCTTGATAAACTTCCAAAACTAACGTACACAACTTTTCCACGTGGCATTTTATCGAGCCACTCCAAACAAGGGTGTTTGCTTGGGTTGTTCTCATCCGATTTGTTATTGTCGTGGTTGAGCTTGTCCTTGGAGTTGATTTTGTGTAGAGCATGGTCATGGTGTAGGAAAATAGGGCCAATACACCAGGTACGACAGTCCAAAGTGGTCCTGTAGAAATCTATGTAGTCTTTCTCCAACTCATAGAAGGTATCAACAAGAAGACCGTAAGAGTTGCCATCTGCCTCTTTAATTTTGTTCAAGAATGTGGTGTAGAAATTTGAACTTTGGATCCATGGCGGATGTTCTGAACGGGTCATGTAGATTGGATGTGGGAGTCCCGGCAATAGGAAGGGTTCGTCATCAGATTTCACATTCTCATAAGGAGTATACCTACACATACATACGACATACATAGATACATACATTGTTAATAGACAATAATTAAATAATTAAACTAGGACCTCCAAAAAATTAAAATGTGTTAAAATGAATAGCTAGCTACTTTAGTTAGCTGTTGCTAACATACCTATCAAAGGCATCAATAGCTGCGAGGGAAAAAGCAGCTTGACCATGATGTACCAAACGAGGGATACCAAGGTCTTCCGCGAGAGCAGTGGTCCAAAAACAGTGAGTATCAGCGACAATGCAGTCAGGCTTAGCAGCCCGGACCATAGCCTCAATGGGAGCTTGAAGCATGAAAAATGCTTGGAGGACTCTACCGGCCATATCGGTGTTAGTAGCGGCACTGAAGCTCTCAATCCCCTCGGGCAAGCCGACTTCCTTGCTAGGGAAGTCGACATACTCAAGGTCGATGTGTAATCCTAATTGGTTGAGAGAGGGGATGGAATCGCGAAAAGAGAGGGAATTGTGATAAGTAGTAAGGAAAATAACATGCACCCCGCGAGATGCAAATAACTTAGCAATTTGAAAGAGAGGTAAGTAGTGACTTGGTGTTAAGTAGGGGATAAAGTATGCTGTTAAACTGCTTTTTTTGCGTGCATTTGAATCCATTTTTAATACTCCACCAATTATTTTTTTAATTTATTTATTTCAATTTTGAGCATGCTATTTGTACTCGAAAGAAAGTGAACAAGGATGGGCACGCAACTCTCCGCTCGTGTTCCTCGAGGACCTGCTACACTAGGACAGTTTAATAAAAAAAAACTACTTAAAAGTAACTTTTTCATTCAATTCTATGGAGTACTCTGTAGTCTGTACTATCTCCAATTCAGAGTAATGTACTCTGTTTTTTTTCCCCTAAGGATGTGTTTAGTTTTAGGCCTTGTTTGACAAATGTCTGTTGGCTGGTTCACTTGGCTTGTTTGACTAGCTGGAATGTTTAGCTGTTTATAATGACTTTTAAAATTGGCTGTTTAAGCTAGCTGTTTATAAAAGTGTTTGGTAAATTAATTGTTGGTTGTTGGCTGTTTATTAGATAATTTGTGAACCAACAAGCCAAAAGCCAACAAAAAAGCTACTCAAAGCAGCTTTTTCATTTTGTCTTAAAAGCCAGTTTTTTCGCTGACTAAAAAGCTAATTACCAAACGCATTTTTTGGCTGTTTGACCACCTAAAAAAGCCAAAAGCTAAAAGCTAACCAAAAAGCCAAAAGCCAAAAGCTAACCAAAAAGCCATTAAAAAGCCAATTACCAAACATGGCCTTAGAAAATGAGATGGACTACGCACTCATAATTTCATAAATAGTTGTAGTACTTTTTTTTACTTGTAAGACACTTTCTTGAAACACTATTTAAAAAGATAATTTCTAGTAAAATAGATAAATTGACGAAATTAGATACTCCGTGTACATTTTAAATCGTATAATCTGCACTTTACTTTTTCCTTATCAATGGTAAAATTATTTCTATTAACTAGCCTTATGGCTTGTGCAATGCACGAGTTATTTATTGGTATATAATATACTTGTAAATTTTTATTGGAAAATGAATAGTTTAAAAAGGAGAAAAAAATTAAATGTAATTGTAGAAGAAATTAATTTGGGAAAAAGTGAACCAATTAACATTCATACATGTTTTGAATTAAATTAAATGAAGGTTTTTTTTTTTTTTTTTTAATATGAGAAAGGGGATTGAAAAAAAGGTTAAATGAGGTAACATGTGGCATTGATGAAAAATAAAATGTACATGTGGCATGTTGAAGATGATGGTTAGTGTTTTTAAATACTAAAAATATAGTGTATTCTATAGATATAGATTTGGTTATAGATTTGTCTATTTACCTAGTCAATTGTATAATTTAAAATACGTGTAAAAACGTTGTGTTGCAAGTAAATAAAAAAAATGGAGAAACGGGTACATGATTTTTGTAAACCTAATCAAACAAAGTTTGGCCCCAAAAAAAAAACCCCCTATTTTAGGCACTTTTTTGGGCATGTCCTAGCCTAGCCCAAATTTTCAAAAAAATATAAATGAGTTTGGAGTCCAAAAATTCAAATTATGTTAAAATTTTGACCGGACTCGATTTTGGCCACGTAGCGGGTTTGTACATGACTCAAACTTGACTACAAGTCTAAACTTGAAATCCCATCTAACTTGATTATCTTTTGACCAAAACATCTCAAATTCAAATTTGACCCATTCGGGCCAAACTGGACACAAAATGACCCGATTCATATCCGACCTAACTACAGTATTTGATTTTGGATCTATGCCAATAATTAATGCACCAACCAAACATCTATGTCACACAGTCACACTATTTGACTAAAATCCTTGCATGTCATCGTGGCAGTTTTAAAGTTTCAGTGAAACATGAATTTCAACTCATCTTCGATCCTCACCTGTTGAGGTATAGATGTATAATAGATATTTAAATTATAAGCTGACTATGATTAGTTTGTTATGCTTATGCTGACTAGGACAATTCTATTACAAGTTTGTTACAGAATCTCTTGTAATATTTGCTGTATAAATAAATAAGCTGCAATTAAACCTGGGCACGGGCCGGGTTGGCCCGCGTGCCGCCCGGCACGGCCCGCCGTTCGGCGCAGCCCGGCACGACCCGAATTCAAGCACGGCACGGCACGAAGTTCAACTCCCGTGCCACGGGCCGTGCCACGGACAGGGTTGAGAATTCCCATGCACGGCCCGGCACGAGCACGGCCATGGCCTGCCGTGCTGGCCCGTCGTGCCGGCCCGCAGGCACGGCCCGGAACGGCCCGCGGGCCAACGGTAATGTTACCGTTTATTCTAGCTCCTTAATAAGCCAAAAAAACGGCTAAAAAACGGCTAGTTTTTTGCCAATTTGCTCCCCAAAAATTCTATAAATACTCACCTCCATTTCATTCCCAAATCACAATCTCTTCTTCTTATCTCTTATATTCTCTAAATCTCTAATAATCCTTATTTTCTTAAATTCTCTAATTATTCTCTTAAATTTTCTAATTATTTTCCTAATATCGGAAAAAATTAAAAAGTTCGTAATCGTAATTAGTGGAGCGTTGAAGCACGGTTGTAAGATCTAAACTAATCTTAAATTTATTATTGTTTTATTGTTATTATTAGAATAATCTTGTTTAATTATTATTGTTGTTAATTGTTATTGTTGTTGTTATAATTGTTGTTATTAATTATTATTATTGTTACAATTGTTGTTATTATTTATTTTTGTTGTTATTATTACTGTTATAGTTGTTGTTATTAATTATTATTATTGATATTTTTATTGTTAAAATTGTTGTTATTAATTATTATTATTATAGTTAATCACTTTTTATTAAAAAATTAATTGTTAATTATGGCATCGAACAACCCATCATCTAGGTCTAGGGGGAAAGGCCGACTTATCCGTAGTAGTAGTTCTAGGGAACCACCAAATACAACGAGCCCCCAAATTACGAGTTAAACCAATGACCCCATTTACTTCCCCCCGGGCTATGAGCCATATAATACGTCGGGATTTCCAGCACCACCACTAAACCAATTTCCACTACCACCATACCAATTTCCACCTAATTATATCGGTGATCAACAAAACTATTGTTCTAGCCAAGGTAGCCAAGAAAGTACCCGAATTCCCTCCGGTTCTACCCCTTCTACTGCCACTCCCACTAGTCCCACTACTAACCATCACACACATCATGAATGGTTAACCGAAACTGAGATGCTACTTTTGAAAAACCGAAGGAGTGAGGTATGACGTTATTTTGTCCTAAGTAAAGATGGTGAACAATGGGCAAAATGTAAAACATGTAATAGTGTATTCACGGCAGTTACCAAAAACGGGACGGGACACTTATCTAGACACATGAAAGCTTGTGCAAAACAAGCTAGTGATCCAACCCAGCCCAAAATTTCCCAATTCCATCCATACGGCTTTATATACAACTATGAGAGGGATAGGGATGAACTAGGAAAAATGATAGTACACGCCGAACAACCTTTTCTTTTCTCGGAAAGTGACGCATTCAACACCTACATTAACAAAGCACTACAACCCCAACATAAAAGAATCTCTAGGAAAACCGTTCGTTCCGCCGCAATGAAAAATTTCCTAGAGTACAAAGTCCGGTTACAAGCCGAATTGAGTAACCTTAACTGTAGAGTATCTTTAACAGCCGATTCTTGGGATAGTGGTTATAAATATCACTATTTATGTGTGACTTGCCATTGGGTAGATGATCAATGGATGTTACAAAAAAGAATAATACATTTCGAAATGCTGGAATACCCACACACCGGCATTAACATTGCTCACCATTTAATGCAAGCAATAGACGAATACAACCTTCGAGATAAAATGATGTCTATGACTTTTGATAATGCAACCTCTATGACATACACAGCTAATCTTATCAAACAAAACTTAACCGATGTACTATTAGACGGTGAAGCTTTTCATACTAGATGTGTTTGCCATGTACTTAACTTATGTGTACATGATGGAGTTCGGGCAATTGGCCCATACTACAGCAAAATCAGATATGCTATTATGTCTATTAATAGCTCTAACATGAGATACCAAGAATGGAAGAGTTTTCTAAAACAACAAAAGATAAGGGTAATAAAAATTAGAACCGATTGCCCAACTAGGTGGAATTCCACCTATGACATGTTAACAAAGGCAATTGAGTACAAGGGCCCGTTAACATTATTTTACAACCAAAAATTTCCACAAAATGCTTTGTATGATGATGATTGGAATAACTGTGAAAGATATATGCAATTTTTACAGTTATTATATAACATGACGTATTGTTTTTCTATTGTTTACAATCCTTGTGCTCAAAACTTTCTTTCTAATGCATGCTTACTCGCCCAACTTTTCGCTGATCATCGCCATCAAAGTGATTATGATCAGTATCTTCCAGCAATGGAAAAAAAGTGGCGTAAATATTATAGTGAGATTCCTTTGATTTATATTTTTGCTTCCATATTAGATCCTAGGCAAAAGTATGAAAACACATTTATGTTAGTTGACATTTACTTTCAATGCATGTTTCTTGACGATGATGTAGAAAACCAGACCTGGGCACCGTGCCGGGCCGTGCCGCCGCGGGCCGTGTTTGGCGGGCCACGGGCTGGTTCGTGCCGTGCCGGTCGTGCCGGCGGGCCCAGGATTTCGTGTCGTGCCGTGCCGACCATTTTCACAGGCCAGCCCACGGCACGACACGGCCCTCGTGCCTGGCGGGCTCGTGCCGTGCCGGCCACGTGCCGGCCTGCGGGCTGGTGCAGTTTTCAAATAATTTTTTTTTTTTTTTTTATATATATGACAACATTATAAATTAATAAGTTTATAATGTATATAAGTTATAAAATTATAATTATAAGTTTTATAAGGTTATAACTTATAAGTTTATAACTTATAAGTTATAAGTTATTAAGTTATGAATTTTATAATTATAAGTTGAATATTTATGTTTTATAATTTGTATATTCAATATTTATATTTATATATTTACTTTATACTATTACTTTAAAATTTCATGTTTATGATTTATTAGTAATTGGTATAATTTTTTTTTTTAATATGAATTTACAAATTGTAACAAAACGGGGAAAAAAGGCAAATTGGACTTTGGATGTGAATAATGCG